ACACACACATACTTTTTCCAAATTTGGTCTCATTCAATTCAGAATGGCTTGAAACGTCGAAAAAACATAAAACTAGCGAATCAGATTTTTTGATAAAAACATAAACTTCTTCAGAAAGTTAATTATTAGCATTAGACAGATGCTAATAATAAAAAATATATTAAATATAGATAGGCCAAACGTTGGGTTACTTTTTAAAAGACGTCATTTTCAACCATTCAGCCTAATTTCGAGGCATAACACACAGGGTCTATTAGACCCCAGCAGTGTTTAAACGCTCGCTGTGGGCAGACTATAAACTCGATTTAAAAAGAAAATAAAATTGGAACTATCTGCAATGCAACTGCTATGGCGACAGCATACATTTTAAAGGTAAATAAAATTAAAGGCCTGAATAATGCTCGGAAAAGAGCGACCTTGTGAAAAATGGTCTAGTCTAGTTGACCCATCAGGCAAAAGCTTATATAGACATAGAAGAAAAGTTGAATATATATATATATTACTGCATTCAATTATTGAAGAGGCTAATAAAGGAAATGCGGTATTAATTTCTTGGAATGATATTTCTCACATTAGCAGCTTTTAATTTATTCAGCGACTTTTATTCCTTTAAATATAATAAACAAAATTAAATTTTAGTATGCGGTTACTTTTAATATTTTTTGTTGTTAATATAAATAAAATAATATATAATGTATGATACAATATTTATTATATAATATAATATATAATATAAATAAAAGATAATCTTATATATAAAAATGGAGCTCTCGATCGAATGATTCGGTAAAACTCGAAAACGGCTAAACCGATTTGGCCAGTCTTAGTCTTGAAAAATTTGTGCCAGTCCAAATGGTCGGAAAGGTGAGATAATATTTCAAAATCGCGTAGAAACTTTACATTTTTAATTTGAAAATTTTTGTAGAAGCGTAATTTAAATAAAACAATGGACGGTGGCTAATGTCAAACGTTTTTGACAGATGATGTTCAATTGCGTTTAATAGGATGTTTTACGTAAATATTACTTAATAATGATTAAATAGTAGTAAGTAGTTTTGTTCGTAGTTATATTTATATACAAAAACGTTAGTAAACGGGCCTCAACTAGAGACTCAAAATATCAACTTTTTTGAAATATTAATATGAAAATGCACTTTTTGGCATATTTTTCTCAAACACGGTGCTCTGAAAGATCTCATTTGTATAATTATATACTCATTGATATTTTTAAAACATTTTCTAGGATATATTATTTTTATTGGACAAATTGTCGAATAACATTTTCCCAGTTATAACAGTTTCCAGAATTTCTCGAAGAATAGATAGTAATATATGAAGGTCCGGGGTTAAAAAAGTCCACCACTGATGTGTCAAAAATCAGTAAAGTAAACAATATTTGAAAGTAGAGGAAAAAAGATGGTTAACCAGCCAATCTTGATTTGAAAACGGTAATCTTTGAAATGGGGGAGATAAACGGTAATCTTTGAAAATCCATAATAAAAGTATTTTCTTCCGTTGGTAGTTTTTTAGCAATAGTTAAAAATGTAATTATTTTGTAAAATACATTTAAAATTATAATAAGGCTTTAAACCTTTTAAAAAAATAAAGGCCACCTGCCCGTTTCAAGTTACCCTGCCTATAGGGTAAAAAGGTCTTGATAACAAATTTTTGAAAGACATCCAAAAGCACATTTCTACAATGATGAAGTAGAAGGCAGTTTTACTGAACGTAGTCAGATAATTTTTCGCTTGGTATGTGTTATTTGTTGTGATATATTTGTTATGGTTCTCACAATATAGTTTATATTTGCTCAAAGTCAAATTGGACCTTTGTGCCTCGCCCTGCTTTACATATATACTTTTTATTAAATTACTTTAATTCATCGAATGTTACTTGAAACTTTTCACACAAAGCAGGCCAAAGAAGAAATACTTAATTCATTTTCTATCTCTCCTCGAAGAAATTTGAAAATTTTGTATAAGCTCAGTAGTATTATTTACAATTATACACAAACTCTTTATAATACCTCATTGTATATAGCATTCAAACACACATCCTTATACACTTAAAGTATCAATGTTTTTGATTCTCTAGAATTTTTTTAAAATATACCTTAATTAGCAAAACAACGTTTGCCGGGTCAGCTAGTATAATATAAATAAACTTAATTAAGCTTGATAAGCATTAGCTGAACAATAAAGAAATTTATTAAAAAAGATTAATAAACCTATAGATAAAACGTGTTTCAAATTAATATATTATTTTGTTCCCGTTTGCTATTTAATTATTGTTAAAAAAGTAATAATATATAATGAATAAAACTATGGGAATTATCTTAAATTTTATATACAAAACCAGAATGTATTCATTCGCAAATATGTGGAAGTTGTATTAAAAAGAGTAGCGTATTTGTTAACCGTTACTTTTGATTATTCATCGTACAACTACAATATAAAATAAAGTTCTTCTCACAGTGGCCATTAGCAACATCGTAAGAAAGTCTTAAAAAAGATCTTTATTCTAATAAACCGCATTCGATTAATTTCAAGAATTCAAATGTTTTTCTAACGGAACGTACATATCATTTTTCATACATCTGAAGCTTTAAAGAAGTTCGCAAATTACTCTTTATTCGTTTTTAAAATTCTTGAATTGCAAAATTGTTGAATTCAATTATTATCCATGTTTCTACATCACGATAATTTCTTTATTTTTTTTTTAAGTTTTTCATAAGAATTATTGCAATAGATCACTTTACGATAATGAACATCAAAAACACCAGAGTCTTAATTACTATTTAATTTAAGAAATTACTGTTTGCAAATTGCCGCTTTTATCTATAAATTGCTGATTTGTTGATTTCTATTACAATGATATATATTCAAAAAATGGTTATTTTCATAATATAAATATTTTCAAAAACACATGCAGAAGGAATACTTTCAAAGTTTCCTACTGTTTTGTCAATTAATGAAAATGAACAGTAATAAAGAAAATACTCTATCACAAAAAAATATCTTTCATTTTAACTTGCAAACTTTATATATGTAAGCACTAGTTTTGTTTTAATGGTATATTTAGAAAGATATGTTATATCAATTAGTTTGAATTAGAGCCAAAGAAATCTAAAAAAAATAAAAGAAAAGAAAGTTAAAGAAGATTGTAATGACAAAGTCATTTTGAACACATTATAATGTCGAAATAGCATCATTGTTCTAAATTGTGAAGTTTTAACAAAATACAAACTTTTTCAAAGTGATATCAGATAAATGATTCCACGCGATCCGTACAGCCTGATATCGAGCAGTAGTGTCATGGATTTTAACTTAAAAATATAGCTAGAAAAATATTTGCAAGTGATTAAGTAGCACTACCTTGGCATGCACTAAGATTAAGTAGTGGTGTATGGCTTTGTGCCTTAAGACAAATTGCTGGAACTTCCCGTACCGTAACGAAATGTTCGAGAAATATTAAATGTTTTCAAATAGATTGTTATAAATACTGTAATATTGCCTAATATTTATAAGAATTATAATAACCGAATTGCAAAGTTTATATTTATTTAAAGTGTTTAAGTGAGCTTTAGAACTTTAGCCAAAATTATAGTTAAAATACGAACTATCCTTGATATACTAAAAACAATTATTTGGGTAAAAAAAAAATCTTGAATTAAAACAAAAAAAATACCAGAAGCAATTGTTTTGTCAACACAAGCACAATTTTTTTGGAATCATTCAAATCGGATGCTTATTTTTCTCAAAAACTGCACTTTTTTGCATATTTAAAATGGCTGGACCTGCCATTGCCGAAAACTAATCGCCACTTCTCTCCATCATTACGAATTGAATGTTTTTTGAACCATTCAAATCGGATGCTTCGTTCTCTCGAAAACTCGATTTCTATTTTCTGCACTCTTTGCTCCGTATCTCTGAAACGGCTGGACCTGCTTTTACCAAAAACTAATCAGCACACTTCCCGATCAATAGGATTGGAATGTTCTTTGAACCATTCAAATCGTTTGAACCGTGCGCCAGAAACGTGGCCGAAAAATTGCGGACACACAAAACATACTACACATTCATGTTTTCTAAGGTATGCCAAAATGTTCAGAAATCTTCAAAACATGAAGATATGCAAAAATTTAGAAGATATGCAATTTCGATTTTTGGACGGTTACAATAACTTACCCTACGGAAAGTTAAAAAAACAATCAGTATTTGAATGCTTCTAAAATACATCAAATGAAGATGGGGCAACCATTGAGTTGTCTTCTTAAAATCTGCGTAGTCCATTTCACAACAGTTTATAAAACTCTCAAGTTCTGAGTTCGAATATAATAACATTTTTCATTTCTTACAGTTAAAGATGAACTGTAAAATTCTTGAATAATTTATGTTTTCAATGGTCTGAAGATACAACTAGTTATTTAATGAAAACAAAAAAAATATCATTATAATCAAATTAAATTTCAGATTTATTTCTTCTTCTAGCATTAAATTCCTGCATGTCGATTATTTTACCAATTTTTAAACCCACAAATTAAACATTCAAGTCGTATAATTTTTTACAATTGCTAAGTTTTGTCAAAAATTGTTACAGTTAGAAAAGGGCATATATATATTAAATATACATATTTTTAGCATTTATTGAATCCATAATTCAGTTAACACGTTGAATGCGGGTGTTGACATCCTTTCCTTCTTTCCTGGTGCGGCTTTCCTCAGTGCCTCATTTACTTTCAATCTATCCCCAAAATTATCAGCATAGTAGAAGCAACTAGTTATACCGCAGTCAACGTGTTGAGAGTTTTAATGGCTAACTCTTCAAAATCGTAATAGTTCGAAAAGGGCTTTAGTTACTTGTATGGACGTGTGTTTCCGCTTTATGCGTTTGCTTGTTTAATATGGCGCATAGCGTGTCATACGTTATGTTTCATTGTTGAATTGTATAAATTGTATAATTATATTTTATAATCTTATAATTGTATGTTACAGATTCATCAGCGCTTGATCCAAGAAAAGCCTTCCAAAAATGAGTGTCGCTCGCTATGAAGATATTGTTGCAGGCCCTTTGGCCAAATTTTTGAGCCTTTCAAAAAGTATTGGCGGAGATGTTGCGCAGCAAACTGTTTTTGTGGAGAATGCCTTCAAGTTAGTATGAAGTACCATTTAAATAATCGCGAAAATAGATTGTTGACGTTTTTATTATTCTAAATAATTTTTCTATAAATTTTTATAGCAAGCTTTTACTGATGTTGATATCAGTCAACTGCATGTAGAGCTAGCTAGTCATATTTACTATTATGTAATGAAGTTGATTCATTTATTTTTGGACATGTTTGCTTTTTTTAGATATCTAACATTTTCTTGTAGGATTGAATTCTGCAATATGAATTATATTTTTTATATTCTTCTATTTCTATAATTCAGGGCACAATTAGCGTTTATCACAACTGCAAGCACTGCATCACAACCTGCTCCTGATGTCTTACAACAACTATTGCAACCGACCAGCCAACAGGTAATGACTAACTTACTTGTTAGTTTCATTTGGTTTTTTAGTAATTTGATAAATCACTTAAAAATTCCACTAGTATCTATTATAATTAACTTCACGAAGGAGAAGTTTGTTTTCTTCAAAAAATCCGATTCGCTAATTTTATGTTTTCTCGACGTTTCAATCATCCATTCTGAATCGAATGAGATCAAATTTGGAAAAAGTATGTGTGTGTGTGTGTATGTGAACAGATTTTTTGCCGTAAATCGACGTTTTCTCGAAAACGGCTAGTCCGATTTCAAACATTTAAAAGCCATTCGATGTATCTCGACGAGGACTATCGTTTGTCAGCTTTGCCGGACGATTGGCCGAGACGTTTCTTTATAAATAGCAGAAAAGTGAGAAATTTTTCGTCCGCGTTTTAGCCCGCAATACTGAACTGACTATGAAAATTCAAAAACCGTTCGAAAGATATTGATTGGGAATCGTGCTGATTAGTTTTTGGTAAAGATCGGCCGGGCCGTTTTCTTGTAATAAAGTGTTAAAAAAAATTTTACGACAATTTTTATTATTATTTTTTTAACGGTAGATACTATAGTCTTCTAGATTTATAGATACTAAAATATTACGGCCCTACGACAATTGGTTTAACTTTGAAAATTCGTCAAAGTTTGCAAAAATTGGTATCGTTTTTTTTGGCATTTGTCAAAATTAGACCTTTCATCGACGTTTACTCAAAAATGCCTGAACCGATTTCAGAAATTTAAAAGCCATTTGATGTATTTCGATGAGGACTATCGGTTTTCAGTTATGTGCGACGATCTGCCAAGCCGTTTCTTTGTAATTTGAAATAATTGTTAAACTTTTCGTCCACATTTAAGCTCATTCTACCGAACCGATTTTAAAAAATCAAGAACTGTTCGAAAAATATTAGTTGGGAATGGTACTGACGGGAAGTTCATGTAACTTGCCTCAAGGCAAAATACCAATACCAACTAGTTTTTGAATTAAATATATTTATTGTGAAAGCTACAGTGTAGTACAAATTGCTCCTCTTCGACTCTCTTAATTTTTTATTATGCTATTTATTTTTTCTACCAACAGTTTGACCAAATTGTTAGTTGGTATGTTATTTGGCAGTCTAGATGCCTTTTCGATTTTTAAATAAGTTACTATTTTTATCTTTAATCTCATGACATTATCAGTGGTAATTGTATTTACAAATGAAAAGATTTCTGTGAAAGTTGTAACTGGATAGCATAAATACTGCTTTATTATGCATAATGACGTTGTCATTATTTTGCTGAAAAGTATAAGGTTGTTCGAAAAGTCACTTCGTTTTTTTACCACCAGAATTTAACAATATATTTTTTTGATCCTAACCTCATACTTTTGCCCAATTATTATTATATGATTTGAAAACTCATATTTTAAAGCTTGTATATAAAAAGCTAATCAATTACATGCAGTAGTTTTTGGATGGTGTCACTTTGAATACGGAAAGAATTAATCAGCATTTTCGACATATTCTACTCTTTTGCTATAAAAAAGGTAAAAATTCTATTAAAAGTCAAAATGAAATTGACCGATGTGTACGGAAATGACGTGTTAAAAGTACGACAGTGCCAAAACTGGTTTGCTAAACTTCATTCCTGGTAATTTGATGTCAAAGATGCACCAAATTCAAGAAGTACAGTTGAAACTGATAAAGACGCGAGAAAGGCATTAGTTGGTGCAAACCGGTGATTAACAATAATAGAAAGAAACGGGTGTCGTCGCACTGGCTTCCACAATTCGCCTCTGAAAAGTCCTGAAAATTAACAGGTTTTGAAACGAATTGTCACTAGGAATATCAAATGCGATGTAAAGAATACAATGCAATACATGAAACGAAAAAAGAAAAACCTGCTCAAAACAGGTGCAAAGCTGAAATTTGCCTGTAAAGTGATTAAAGGAGTTGTTAATTTTTCACCTTTTCCAGGATAACATAACGGTTAATTCAGATGCCCTATGTCATAGGCTGTCTGATATCAGAATTAACCCACAAGCAAGGTATAGTCCTGCATCAGGACGACGCAAGACCTCACATAAGTTTGGTCAATCGCCAAAAGCTTCTGTAGCTTGAATGGTGGGACCCAATGTTACATTTATCATATTCTCCAGACCTGCCATCATCGGACCATTATTTGTTCCGGCCAATAAAATAATTTTTAGACGGCAATACCTTTACCTCAAATCAGCATGTCAAAAAGCACTTTGATCAGTTTTTTGCCAATAACGACCAAAATATTTATGTTCTCGGAATTATGCTAATACCAGAAATATGACAAAAGATGTTCCATCAAAACTGCCAATGGGCTCGCCCGTAGGTAAGCGGTTAAGAGCGACGGGACTTGTTTCAGAGGTCCCGGGTTCGATACCCACTTCGAGCAGCCTGTTGACAGGCAACAGTCACAACGATTTTCACTTGAAAATATAAATAGCAATATGTTTCCAAGTGAAAATAGCCCTTACCCGGCATTGTTGCACCATATACTTGCCCTATTACAGAGATTGTAATAAAAAAAATATCATGCAGAGATGTGACAACTGTTTGGGTTGCTATCTGTAATAAAACAAACGTAGTTTGTAAGATATTGATCACAACAGCTCATAGAACCCCTGAGTTCTGATCGCTGTCCAAATAAAATTATAAAAAAAAACTGCCAATACATAATTTATTATAATTATATTATAATTTATTATAAAAACGAAGTTACTTTCCGAACAACCCAATATTAATGTCTTTAATATATAATTCTTGTGATTGTTATAAACAATGACATATTTCAAACTAGTTAGTAGACACAATAATGACTCTAATTATATTATTATTATTTAAATTCCCATGATGGAAAATTTTTAACATTTTAATCACTATATATTTGGGCGTGGTGCAGTGGTAAGAGCCTCTGTTGTGTGATCATATGATTTTTAACAATATAGATCAGAATGGATTTTTAAGTGAAGATATATTCGATAGAGGGTTTTTTGCTAAAAGTAGAAAATAAATATATTTTATCTAACAAGAGCAGTCACTGAATTGCCTTCTAATAATCTTTCTAAACAATAAATAACGTTTACCACAGCTTGAAGAACACCTAGTTCTGATTGCTTATCAGTATTAGGAACATACAAAAAAGCCATGATATATTACTAAAAAGTCGCAAAATATTTGTTAGCGTTTTTATATGACTGCAGGATTTTATTACAATATCACATTCGAATTATGTAGATATTGGTGCAACATTTCCGTAAAATGTTGCTTGTTTCTCCTACAACAGAAAGCGTACATGATGCCAAAAACGGTACTTCAGATTAATGAGTCTACGGTATTTTCGGTGTATGCATTCGTAATCATTATTGAAATAACATAATAAGACTTAACAGACTAAATTTACTTTAATGTTATATCAGTTCATCAAAGACAAGTTGCAAAACTGTCCGATATGTGCAAATAATTTAATTAATCATTATAAATGCGATTCAGCTGCTTTTAAAATTGCCATGAAGGAAGTTTGAAATTTTGATGTAATTGGTTATTTTATTTTTTTTATCATTAAACCACTTTGCATAGGCGTATTCTAATATTTTAGAATTATTGAGACCATTTATCAAAATCGTAATACAATTACAATTAGTTACGAAGCTAGAGCCCGAACGATCTTTATCAAAAACTTATTAGCACTATTCCCAACGGATGTCTTTTGAAAGGATTTTAACTTCACGTTAGGTAAGTTATAGTAATCGCAAAAAAATCGAAAATGAAAATTATTATTTATCTTTACGTTTTAGAGGTTTCTGAATGTTTTGGCATATCTTAGAAAAAAATGGATGTGTGTATGCGTGTGTGTGTGTGCGGATACAAAATTTCGTCGACGATTTCGGGAACACCTATCAACTGATTTGAATAATTAAAAAAAAACATTCGAATCGTATCAAGCCATTCCGAAGATACGGGGCAAAAAGTGACAAAAACGTAAACTCAGTTTTTAGGAGAATGGAGCTTCCGATTTTAATAATTCAAAGAACATTTTACTTGTATTGACAAGATTAAGAACTGATTAAATTTTTGGGAAGGCAGGTCCAGCGGTTATGGACTCTCGATAAAAATAAGTTAAAAAAATGTCATTTGGCGAACAAAAATAGAGATTTTAATAATGTGTACCCATTTTGTGTAAATTTTTTGGGTTTTGTACCAAGATTTTTGATTACGGTACGGAAAATCAAATTGCCTGGAACTTCCTGTACCAATAAAATTTTTTAAGTTGTAATTTTTCTAGCACTAAAAAATTGATTTTTGAGAATTTTAAATTTTTTGAAAAAAAATTACTTTTTTAAAATTTTTATTTTTTTCATACTTTACCGTACGGAAACCACAGCAATGTAAACAACATTTATTCTTATTTTTAAAATATCTGGTAAATGATCATTTTTGTTTGCCCAATGGCGTATTTTTTTGCTCTTTTTATTGTACATCCGAAACCGCTAGACCTGCCTTCCCAAAAATTTTATCAGGTTTTCATTTCGTCAATACAAATAAAATGTTTTTGAAACATTCAAATCAGAAGCTCCGTTTTCTTAAAGACTGAATTACCATTTTTGTCACTTTCTTCCCGTATCTTCGGAAAGGCTATACCTGTTTGTGCCAAAAACTAATTAGCACGTCTCCTTATCAATAGGAATCAAATGTTTTTTTGAATTATTCAAATCATTTGATCCGTGTTCTCGAAATCGTCGACCAAAAATTGTATCCGCACATTCATACACACACGCGTGCACACACATACATCCATTTTTTTAAGGTATGCTAAAATGTTCAGAAACTTTTGAAACGTAAAGGTATATAAAAAATTTCTATTTCAATTTTTTGCAATTACTATACTGCATAAGTTTATTGAATAAAAATAATTACAAATAACAATAACTAAGTCTCCAAAAATTATGAGAAAACTACCTTCAAAATAAACTTGGGAAGGAGTGATACTCGTTTGAACTGTTTGAACATCTGAGTGATTATGGTTTTTGAACGTTACTAAAATTAGCCAAATTTTAAATAAGGCCGATATGTCATTTTGTTATTGTATGGTATTTTGACCGTATTTCCTCTAAATATATGCAAACTATCTGAATCTATTTCGTTTTATTTATATTGCTCATGTTTGTTATTCCAGATATTAGCGGCTCAAGAATTTCGAGAAAAGCATCGTTCATCGAACTTCGTGAATCATTTAGCGGCGATTAGCGAGAGCATTGTCGCACTCGGATGGGTTTGCATTGTGAGTAAATAAGAACAATAAGAAAACTAATCATATTTCAGCTATTGTTTTATTAACATGCATATTATTAATTATGGAATTATAATTAAACACTACACCGGTAAAATATATAAACTCAAATTGCTTTCGTTTAATTGGCCGTTTGATAACAAATGTTAATATCTATTGTTTCAATTTCTATTGTCTCTTATTAGTTCTTGACTATTTATGCGTATTGATAAATTGGTAAACAATTTATAATATTGGTAAACAATTTTATGTTGGTAATATAATTCAATCACGTTCATATTTGATTAGATAATACATTAGATATCCAAATAAAATCTTGAAAATCTGTCTGTCAACGACTAGATAGGATGAAGTTGCTTAAGACATACCACTGCCTGAGTTATACCCAAGCTATATTTAGTCTCATAATTAAAAATTACATTGCTAAATAGAACTATTTAGTTAAGTAAGTAATTACTTACATTTAGAATGTAAGTAGAATGTAAAGTCGACTGTCCGAATTTGTGAAAATGAGAATGTGAGCTTTTTCTCAAGTTGATTAATAAGGATGTTATGACTAAATATGATCCTGACATTTTTGCTTACAAGCGTTTGTTATATGTTTGATAACTGATAAGGCTTATTTAAATGGCAGATTTTATTTCGGTCATATTATTTGTTTTAATTTCTAACTTTGAAGTCCATGCAGCTTATGAACCTGTGCAAAGAGATCTAGATTCTTTTTGATAAATACGAAAAAATAATCTTTAATAAAGTATTATATGTTAGCATTATTTCGTTACAGGCGTACGATTCAAGCAACTTCACCTTTACTTACTATTGTTTACCGTAATATTAAGAATAGTAAAAACCATATCCTGTTACATTTAACTAATATCAGTGGTATGGGAATTTTTCGACATACATTTTTATTATCGTAATCTAAAAAACAGCTGTTTTTGTATCATAAATTGTAGAATTCTATTGCGTTTATTAACTTTCCGTAGGGTAGTTATAGTAATGGGCCGAAAATCGAAAATGAAAATTTTTGCATTTCTCGATGTTTTGAAGGTTTTTGAACATTTTGGCATACCTAAGAAAAAATGGATGTGTGTGTGTTTTGTATGTCCGCATTTTTTCGTCCAAGTTTTCGGGCGCACGGATCAGCCGATTTGAATGGGTTAAAAAATGTTCGACCCCTATTGATAGGGAGATGTGCTGATTAGTTTTTGGCAAAGGCAGGTACAGCCGTTACGGAGATACGGAGCAGAGTGCAGAAAATACAAATCGGGTTTTTGAGAGAACGGAGTATCGGATTTGAATGATCTAAAAAGCATTCAATTTATAATGATTGGGAGAAGAGGTGATTAGTTTTTGGCAAAGACAGGTCCCGCCATTTCGAAGATACAGAGCTAAATGTGCAAAAATGGCAGTTTTTGAGTGAACTAAGCGTCCGATTTGAATGATCTAAAAAACTTTCTACTTGTATTGACAAAACAATTGCTTTTGAGGATAAAAAATTATTACATCTTTTTTTATTTTCCATAAAATATTTTTGTAATTTTGGATTAAAAATTCAAAAATGACCCAGGCTAAGCACAGTCTAAGCGCCACTCTGGTACAAATGTTTACACAAGTGCGTTTAGACTGTTTATGTACAGGAGCACTTTTCCAATTTTGTGAAAAGTATTGAAAAATGTGCAAATGCCGCCAAGCTAAGCACAGTATAAGTGAAAATGTCGCACAGAATTATTTGCAAATGCACATTAGACTGTGATTATACTTTTTCAATTTTGTGTAAATTAGGCAACTATTTTTTTGAAATTGAATTCGAAATGAAATGACGAAAGTTAGTGTTCTGGAGATAAATTGATTTATGATTTACATTTGATTTGCTCAGATATAACAAGATAGTAAAACAATGAAAGTTACAGTATTTGTAATAATATATTTGAAAACGTTTAAAATTTTGGGCGACGCTCTTTTTTTTTTGTAATTGGCAAAAAAGGTAAATTTTTTCATCAACGCTTGAAAATCATGAATCAGTTTTATAAATTCAAAAACTGTTTGAAAAGTATTGGTGGGGAATAGCGTTGATTAGTTCTTGGTAATGATGGGTCAGACCGTTCCATGGTATTTAAATGTTGAATTTTTTTTGATGATTATGGTGAAACTTTGTATAACAATAGATTTTGTAGTCTGAAATAACATACTAAAAATATTATAAGCTTACTTTACCGATTTTAATTAGAATTTATGTCGAGCAAATATGTCGTTCCTTGTTCCATACATTAGGTTTGTTATTACAGTTGACAACCACACTTTAAAAAACCACTTTTAGAACGTTTAGAAAGTATAAGATATATGTAGCACATGTTGATAAAATGCAAACTTTAGTTAATTTTTATAATTTTTCTATAGGCTTCTAATATTTTATCAGATTTGGGCATAAAATCTACTATTACGCTAAGTTTAAAAGTTTCGTCAAAATCTGAAACGAGCTATGGGCTAGTTCTGCTTATTAGTAAATTGCATTTTTGTTTGATTTTCGTTGATTTCAGCCCGATGTCGAACAGCAATGCCATTTATTCATTCTTTAAACACAGAAAATCGTATTTCTAAATTAATATGATTAAATAATAGGAAATTTGACTTAGAAATCATATTTTAAGACTAACTTTTTTTCTTGGTGATATTATTTTCTTTAACAATTATTTATTATTTTTTAGTCGCCTACACCTGCTGTGCATGTGAAAGAAATGCATGATGCTGGACGTTTTTACACTGACCGTGTCTTGAAAGAGAAAAAAGGACTTACTGACAAATCTAGTGAAGATCATAGGGAATGGGTCAGAACGTGGTTGGAAGTATTAGAAGAATTAAGGAAATATGTAAAGGACATTCATACCACCGGATTAGTATGGGGAGGTAAGTTCCTAATATATGATATACATAGTTATGAGTAGGTAATACAATGATAACATAGGTCCACAAAATAAAAACTTGCCTGTATTGCGTCATATGGTTTCCAATGTACTTTTTAACTCGGATCTGAAGTCAAAATTAGTGGTCAACCTGCAAAAAACGGAATAAAATTAAGAACAAAATCCCCGATCTAATAATGCTACAAGATGATGATTAAAACTTATAATTTGTCGTTTCCTAGTCCTTCTTTTTTCAATTGTCCTGGGAAACTGATTTCTACAATGCTTTTTATTCATTTTTATTGAGCTTCTTTTTGTAGAATCTAGCAGCAATTTGCAAACATATTTAATTTCTATTGCCCCTAGGTAATCTGCAAACTTATTTGCGTCATTTAAGAATATGTTTGCAGACTGATGCTGGATCATGCAGAAGAATTACCAAACCGGAGACTTTGTCGTTTTTTTTCAGTTTGGACTCCAAAATTTTGATCACAATTTGTGTTCAGCATTGGAAAACATATCGTATAGGAGGCAGCAACGTTTTCAAAACAAGAAGTTTGGGAAGGCTGATTTGTTGGTATGTGGTTCTTGGTGCTCTTCTGGTTAGAGTATGGGCCATCTGGCAGCTGGAAGTGGTTGCGTTTATTAGTACGCTGCCAACTCGTACAGTGCGATTTCAAAATTTTGAAACTATTTAATTCAGTTCAATTTTTATTTTTAACTTCCCGTAGGGTAAGTTATAGTAATCGTCCAAAAATCGAAATCAAAAATTTTTACATTTCTCGACGTTTTGAAGGTTTCTGAACATTTTGGCATACTTCAGAAAAAATGGATGTGTGTGTGTGTGTGTGTTTTGTATGTCCGCTTTTTTTCGTCCACGTTTTCGGGCGCACGGATCAACCGATTTGAATGGTTTAAAAAACATTCGATTCCTATTGATAGGGAGATGTGCTGATTAGTTTTTGGCAAAGGCAGGTCCAGCCGTTACGGAGATATGGAGCAAAGAGTGCAGAAAATAGAAAGCGAGTTTTTGAGGGAACGGATCAACCGATTTGAATGGTTTAAAAAACATTCGATTCCTATTGATAGGGAGATGTGCTGGTTAGTTTTTGGCAAAGGTGGGCCGAGCGGTTCCGGAAATACAGAGCTAAATGTTAAAAAATGGCAGTTTTTGAGAGAACTAAGTGTCCGATTTAAATGACTTAAAGAACTTTCTGCTTGTTTCAACAAAATAAATGATTTTGGAAAAAAAAAATTTTTGTTTCTAATTTTTTTTTCAAAAATTTTTTTTTGTAATTTTGGATTAAAAATTCAAAAAATCACCCAAGCTAAGCACAGTCTAAGTTTATGTATTGGGGCACTTTTCCAATTTTGTGAAAATTATTGAAAAATGTGAAAATGCCGCCAAGCTAAGCACAGTATAAGTGAAAATGTCGCACAGAATTATTTGCAAATAATAGTTATAGTTTAGAATTATTTGTAAATATAGTTTAGACTGTGACTATGCGGGAGCACTTTTTCAATTTTGTGCAAATTAGGCAACTATTTTTTTTTTGAAATTTGATTCGAAATGAAATGACGATTGTTAATGTTCTGGAGATGATAAATTGATTTATTTATAATTAACTTTCCGTAGGGTAAGTCATAGTAATCGCAAAAAAATCGAAAATGAAAATTTTTATATATCTTTACGTTTCAAAGGTTTGTGAATATATTGGCATACCTTAGAGAAAATTGATGTATGTGTGTGTATGTGTGTGTGTGTGTGCGTGCATTTGTGTGTGTTCAGATACAAATTTTCGTCGACGATTTCGGGAACCGGGATGAAGCAATTTGAATAATTCAAAAAACATTCGATTCGTATTGATAAGGAGACGTGCTGATTAGTTTTTGTCAAAGGCAGGTCCGTTCCGAAGATATGGGGCAAAAAGGGCCAAAAACGGTAACTCAGTTTTTAAGAGAACGGAGCGTCCGATTTGTATAATTCAAAAACATTTTACTTGCATTATCAAGATGAAGATTTGATCAAATTTTCATGAAAATAAGTCTAGCGGTTTCAAAGATCTAGTAAAAAAAATAAAAAAAAATAACATTTGGCGGTCAACAATAATCATTAAGGTGCGTCCACACCTAACGAACGAACACGAACGAACATGTCGAACAAGAAAATACAAAGAAGAACGAACAGGAACACGAACGAACGCGAAAAATTCCAAACAAACGCCTCAAAGCAGTGAGGGCTTGAATCTTTTTGTTCGAGGATGTACCGTGAAACGTCAGATTTATTATTTAAAGTGGCGGGAAAGAACAAAATTATTTAAAGTCATCAAATTTACAAAATTTGTCAATAACAGCAGTATCTTATAATAAACACAACATAAACTAATGCAGGACTGCACATTTTAATATCAAAAAAGAAAAATATTTGTCTACATTCGTGGTAACGTCCACACTGCACATACGAGTTCAAACATGAACGAACAATTCCCTTTGATGTACCGACAAGTTGCGGAACATTGCTCGCCATGTTTGTTTATGTTCGTTCGTGATCGTTGTGGCGTCCACACTATGCTGTTGCTGTTCGTTCTGGTACGTTCTTTTATGTTCGTTCGTGTTCGTTCGTTAGGTGTGGACGCACCTTTAGACATTAGACATATGCACATCAAATTATCAGATATTTTATAGAGATTTTAACAATAAGTAAAAATTTTGTTTACATTCCTATGGGTTCCGTACCAATGCTTATGCGTTAGACAGCGACATTTAGTCTCTATGCATTAAAGCAGTACGATTGCTTTGAAAAAAAGTTCAGAATTTCCAAAATATTTCAAAATAAATTTTTCAACAAAAAGTAAGTTTTTGTCAAAAATTTATATAGTTCCTCAAAAATCTATTTTTTTTAGAGTAAATTTTTTTAAAAATGTTAATCTTTTCAAAAAAAAAAAAAATTTTTGGTACGGGAAGTTCCAGCAATTTGCCTTAAGGCACGATGCCATGCGCCCCACTAGTTTTGACTTTAGGTTCACCAGACTTACATTTTTGTTGCCAGACATTTTGGGCGCTGCTAAATATATATATATATATATATATATATATATATATTTTTAAATTCAAATCATATTAGTCCGTCTGTAATTTTAATATTATGTTGATTAAGGGTGAAAAAACATAAAAGTAATTTGCCAGACGTTTTTGCGGTTATTAAGCATGCCTGGCAATGAAAAAACAAGTTGGCTGCGCACTAATGAAAGCAACCACTTTCTAGGTGGCCCATACTCTAACCGAAAAAGCACCAAAGACCACACACCAAAAAATTAACATGCCTAAAGTTCTTCCTCGAAAACGTTGCTGATATACAAACTTTAACAATAACAATAAAGCTTTTTTATTATGAGAACCTGTGTAATTTTCAGTAAGGGTTAATTTATCTTGTTCTGGTATAGTTATTTAATCCATTTTAAATGTGGAATACATATAATTTTTCACTTAATGCTATATAATTAGTTTGATACGACAGTTATATATAAGTACATGTTTCATCTTTTTTTCCTTTCTAGGAAAGAAAGGCGCAGCTGGTCCTCTTCCTCCACCACCACCACCACCCGCAGATGTATTTTCTCCACTCCCTGACATTGACGGTAAGTTTTCATATAAGTAAAATTAGAAATACATTTATATAAAATTAAAAATTAAAACTTTTAACAAATTTGATTTTTGAAAATTTTGAAATTTTTGGATAAAATTGACTTTTTGAAAAAAATATTTTTTCTTACATTTTGAAATAATTTGGAAATTTTGCGCTTTTTTCTAAGCATTCGCGCTGATTTAGCTGCGTAGAGATGAAATAATGAAGCGCGTAAGCGCCGCATCTAACGGATAGATAATGTTACGGAACCAATAGAAATGTAAACAAAATTTATACTTATTATTAAAATTCCTATAAAATATCTGATGATTTGATGTGCATATGTCTAATGATAATTTTTGACCGCTTGATGGCATTTTTTTTACTTTTTTATTGGATCTTCGAAACCGCTGGACCTGCCTTCCCAAAAATTTAACCGGTTTTTCATGTTGACAAGACGAGTAATATTGAATTATTGAAATCGGGACCCTCCGTTCTCTTAAAAACTTTTTGCCCCGTATTTTCGAAACGGCTGGATACCTTGTCGAATCGAATTATTTTGAATCATTCAAATCAATTGAACCGTGTTCCCGAAATCGTCGACGAAAATTTGTATCCGAACATACACACACACACATCATGTATTGTTTATACGATATGCCAAAATGTTTAGAAACTTTTGAAACGTAAAGATAAATAAAAAAAATTATTTTCGATTATTATAACATACCCCACGGGAAGTTAAAAGAAACTATGTGTTATACATGTAATTAATTACAAATAGAAAATACTACTATTTTACGAAATATGTTGTAAACCTTTGAGGTTTTTATTTTTTGTGAAATAATTTAATTTTTTGTTTATAAATATTTTATTCGCTTCGGGTTTACAAGATGTCTCTTTCTTCAGGAACTGTTATGTACAAACCAGCTTTTTTATACATTTTTAATTATTTTAAAACTGAAAGAATTCACCATTTTTCCATTCATTTTACTCTCATTTTATGTTTATTCACTAAAGATGAACATGATTCTTCGTTTTTTTTTTGTGATAAATTTGTATCTCATGAGTTCTTTTCTTTCTGCCTGTCTAAAACATATAATTTCTTGTTACCATTTTTTTTTTTATTGTGAGTACAACTGTTTATAAATAATTACTATTTATTTATTTTGTTTTATAAAAATATATAATAAATGTTGCAGATGGCAAAGATCGTAGTGCTTTGTTTGCTGAAATAAATCAAGGAGAAGGCATAACTAGATGTAAGTATTTATCTTTAAAACGCTATATTTTTGCTACCAAACTTTTAACAAAAGTGTTGTTATAATTGGAAAAACTAGACAACACAACTAAATCCTACTTTTTAATAACTTGCAATTTTATATTTTTTTGATGTCATGAAATTATAAGTGACAATTGTGTTCACAAATCAAAAGATTTCCTAGAAAGTTGCTAGTTATGCATAATGATGTTGCCGTTGTTTGTAAAACAAATCTTAAAAAGTCTTTAAAATTAATTTTGTATGATAGTTCTTATCAATTATACATTTGTTAAATCACTGTAATCATTATTATTGGCTGTTATTCTATAATAATTACATTTAGTTTATTGAATTTAATATAAAAGAGTATAATTTAAAATATAATCTGGTTACTCAAAGTTCCTTATTAGTTCAACTTATTTCACATAATGGGAAATACTTAATTTATATTTTATTTCACACTCAGGTAAAGCATATAAAACACTGTGAAAATATTTTTATTAATTGATTGATTGACAGAATTTAATATGTAAATTATTGCAATATTGATATCTTAATCCTTAGTGAAATTTAAAACACTAGGCTGTGTTTATATTTGTTGAATGTACTGTTTACATAAATGTTTTTATCAATATGATTTGAAAAAATGTATCGATACTAAATGTTTTATAAAATAATAGCTGTGTGGTCACCACAGATTGTAACCAAAGTTCTTTAAAACCCAAATCTTAAATTTTTGCATATTAAATATAAGTTCAAACTGAAACCAAAACTGCATGAGATTAAATTACATTTCTTGTTAAATCATACCTTGAGAATGTAAAATCCTTTACAACTGATGTAGTTCAATATATATTTTTGTTTTATCCCAAAACCAGCATTGAAGAAAGTCACTTCTGATATGCAAACACACAAAAATCCGACACTACGCCAAGGCCCTACTCCATTCGTTAAAGCTAATATGTCAGGTAAATTAATTGCATATGTTTTTTAGTCTGTATCGTGCATGCATTCCTAATTTTACAAACACATGTACACAATATTTATATACATATATATATATATATATATATATATATATATATATATATATATATATATAAAGTGAGAGGAATTTTCAGATTATGATAGAGTTGTTCTTGGGCATCCATCCAATAATAAAACACTTTTAGTGAATAAAAATGTTTTTATTGTCAAACGTTTTGGGTTCTGATTTGACCCATCTTCAATGCATACAAATAATTAAAAAAAAAAACACAGAAAAGCACAAAAAAATATAATATACCAATTAATATCACAACTTTTCTAATGTTAAATTAATAAAAATAAAAATAAAATATATGAGAAGATTCACAAAGCTCTTCTCATTGAGACATGTTTTTCATTTGCAATTTGTTTAACAAGTAAACCAAATTTTACTTAATGTAAAACATGTCTCGATGAGAAGAGCTTTTCTTTTCAGTTATTTTCTTTTTATTAATTTAGTATTTATTAGAAAAGTTGTTGTGATATTAATTGGTGTATCATATTTTTTGTGTTTTTTCTGTTTTTTTTTTTTCAAATTATTTGTATGCATTGAAGATGGGTCAATTCAGTACCCGAAAAGTTTGACAATAAAGATCACTAAAATTGCTTAATTATTGGCTGGATGTCCAAGAACAGCTTTATCATATATATTTTACTATAATATGTATTATTTTGATAATATATTTAGCAGCCCATTCATCGAATGGAAAGACACAAATGAATTACATATTGCTAATTTTTTGTTATATGCTTCGATACTCTCAGCTACTCATTTCCTAATTATATTTAATTATATTATTCTATAGTATTAATGATAATTTTATTTTTCTGAAATGGTTTGAATATTTTTGCAATATAGTTTAGAAAAATGTCTCAACAATTTTTAATGTTGATTGTATAATTTCTTGTAATTAGTTTAGTTTAGTTTAGTTTGTTGAGTGATGGCTCATATCAAGTGTCGAAACGTATACATATTTCTTTTGAATATTCCTTCTTTTTAAATTTGATAAATTAGCTTTAGAGAAATATAAAGGATGAATTGGCTGAGAAATATAAATACTGTTTTATTTTAATATTGTACCTGTTTGCACATTGCACTTTAAGATATATCATTTGTGCAATATATTAAGAATTTTATATTTAAATTTTATAAAATTGATAAATTGAACTATATGTTAATTATATTAAAATTAATAATTTAGAAAAATATGAAAGTTATCAACAACGACGAGTATTATTAGCAGACTTAAATAAGAAGAAATGAAACTTACACATTATTGAGAGATAAAAATATCATTAAAAACTGAACTTCTTTTATGCTAAAAAATATTAAAATTAACAAAGTTAACTGTAGAATATTTTAGAGAGCTTTTTCATAAATTTTCTTTATTTAGTTTAACAATTGTGATTTGAAATGCTTTTATTAATATTTTGAGTTAATTTAGTCTTGCTAATTAAAAATCAGCAATTTGCAATTCAATGCAAATTAAATTAGGCATCGATATTTTTGATACCCTTTTTTGTTTATGTATTTAAATTCATGACACACTTAATCTAAATTGGAACTAATTTGCTTCATATATACTCTTATTGTTAGTGAGCTAGATATAGTATGACGTTATTTAAATAATTCTCAATTTATTTTTTTGTAGAAAAACCATCAATTACTAAAGTTGCTATAAAAGAAAGTGAACCAGTATTCAAAAGGGACGGCAAGAAATGGATTATTGTGAGTATAAAAATTTAAATGAATCAGTCTAAAATAATTCAAAGTGTGGGTTTCTATTGCATTATTAAATTTATAAAACCTTGAGGCAAACCTTGAATTGGGAGGTGAACTACTTAATTTTTTGGGAAGTGAACTACTTAAATTTTAGAAAAGATTTCTATGCCTTCTGTTTTTTCTCCAGTCTAGCTTTATTCTCAAATCGCCAGATAATTACAATTTATTATTATTTTAATTATTACTATATTGTTGCAATTTCTTTTATGACACTTATTCATTTTATTTGTAGGCTTTGATTTAAATAATCGAAGGAGTAAATTTTTATTAATTTTGAATCCAGATAAGCAATGTCATAATCATATCAACTAACATTTTATATGATAATGACATTGCAAAAAAAAACTTCTATTAGGACTTAATTGCTTATTCATATTTACTATAATATTTGAAACATACAATATAAATATGTAAATATGTACTCATGTATTTATATAAAAATATTATTAATTTTAGGAACACCAAAAAAATAACTCAACACTCAAAGTCCAAGATGTCGAAATGAACAATGTTGTGTATATGTTCAAATGTGAAAACTCTACGCTGGTAGTTAATGGAAAATTGAACTCGATTGTGATGGATTCTTGCAAGAAGTGCTCCCTGGTCTTTGATAGTGTTGTATCGAGTTGCGAATTTGTTAATTGCCAAAGTGTAAAGATGCAGGTATGATGTATTTTTAAAATGATACCTTTTTTTACATACAGTTGGTTTATACAATATATACTCATAGATGCTGACTCTATATTTTATTTCAAAAAGGGATTCAAACTTTAAATAGTTCAACATTACCTATATGTATTTATCATATTCATATATCTTAATTATATTATTTATTTATTTCTTATTGCCAATTTAGGTGGACTAAATTATCGAAATGGTTTTAAACTTAAATATTATATATACCTATAATTAATAAGCAATAAATCATGAAATGAAACTGTTTGATGAAAATCATTAAACAAAATACTTAATATTACAAATTAATAATTCCTATTACTTTTGATAACCAAAAATTTATATTGATATATGTATAACAAATTATTTAAATAATTGTATTATGAATAATCTAATAAAATTATGTTCTGTTATTTATCAGTTTCGTTCTTAGATCAATGGTTATATTAATGGTATTTTTTTAATTTTTTGCAGGTTCTAGGAACAGTTCCGACAATATCTATTGACAAAACTGATGGTTGCCAAATGTTCCTGGGATCTCAATCTGCAGACACTGTGCAGATTGTCAGTGCAAAATCCAGTGAGATGAATGTTGTTCTTCTAGATCATGTTTCAGATCGAGATGGAGACATGGTTTGTGTTCTAATGCTTTATTCACACACACACACACACACACACACACACACATATATATATATATATATATATATATATATATATATATATTATTTAAGTTTAAAAGTCGGGCGTTACATCAATAAAAAATAGTATGAAAGTTTTTAGAAGTATATTTAAAACCCATGTCCGTGTTATCGAAACGTTTGTTTATGACCCTGTCATTATGCAATTGCAAAAACAACTCCTCAGCGAATCTTCTTTTAATTACGTTCTCTTCAAAATATAAAATTTTTGGGTTGAAAAAATCCATGTTATGATTTAGATTATTTATATGCTCGGTTAACATAGTTTTGAATTGTTTGGTACTTTTAGAGGAATTTTTATGTCGATGAAGGCGACATTTACTCAGGTTTTGACTAGTTTTTCCGATATAAAAAATTTCGCAATTAGAGTAATTTATCTGATAGATTAAGTTCCTGAGGCGGTCAGAATTAAACTTAGATTTAATTTGTGTAAAAATGGAACAACGGGTTGTATCGCAATTGCACACCAACAAAAGGCCACACTGTTGAAACAGCTTTCTCCACGAAAACACCAGTATATGACTCGAGGTCTGAGCGGTTTTTATGGTCGGCGAAGTCGTTTTGTTCATTGAATAGGTAACTGCGTCTGTTATTTATTACGCAACTACCTTTTCAATAAACAAAACGACCTCACCGATCATAAAATCAGTTTAGACCTGGAGTCATACTGGTATCATTTGCCTACCGTGAATGAATCATTGGCACTCGACTCGAGTGTGACGCTCTTCCGTTGCATTTTTATAGATTTACACCCTACTCGCGCCTAAAGAAGTTTTAAATCAATAAACAATTCATAATTTAATACTTTATGGCTAAAAATAAGATAAAAAAGAATTTAAATCTCATATTAATGAGTGCACAAAATGTATAGTTTCATCAGGCATTAGAAATTGTCATTAAGTAGATTAATTCCACATGATAATTGAAAAGATGTTATTGTGCGGTTATAACGATTTTGTAATTGTAACGATTAATACAAAGATATTAATTGAATAATATTATTAATTTTTTGCTTTCCAGGTTGAGCTTCCAATTCCTGAACAATTCATTACGCTGATATCCGGAAAAACTTTAAAAACAACGCCAATCGAAAATCGCGGTTGACTATCGTAAAAATAACTATTTATATATGATTCGCCACATGAGAATATTGTGAGCGCGTATTAATTGAACTGTATTTATATTAATCATTTATAGGTTTATAAATGACAAATAATTATTGCATAATTACTAATTAAATTTTAAGGAAGTTTGTATGTATATGTCATTATACATATATAAATTATGCTTGTGTGTGGTTTTAAATACATTTTAATATTATAACATTTATTACATGAATAAAATTTTCTAGTAATTCAAGATTTTCATATATCAACTATTTGTAGGAGCAGAAACAGATATAGCACTTTTTTTTTAAATATTTATTTTTTTATTTATTTATATATATATACATCATTTTCATATCTCAGTCAGACAGAGGTGCCCGGTATGAGAGATTATGAAAACAGTTTTCATATTTTATATATATACATTTTATTTGAATATTTCATTAACATAATATCTATTATAATGAGATTACCTTTATATAACTCTTCACTCTTCTTTGTCTTCAATTTCCTTATAGTATTATGAACATTTTACATACATAACTGGGCTATATTCACATACAGTGGTACCCCGCCTTACGAGCGTCTCGTCATACGTGTTTTTCGAGATAGAACTGCCGAAGTTACGAAGTTATGTCATGTATTTGCTTGTGCAATGTGGGGCAAAGTTGAAGAGTTCGTGGGTAAGAATTACCCCGAATATGATGCAGCTGATGGATCAGAGTTGTTTGACGAGACGTGTCTCGTTGCATTTTTGCAATACCATAATGAATTGAAAAAAAAACTAGTTGGTATTGGTATTTTGTTTACACGAACTTTGCGACATGTGTAAATAATCGACTTAATCAATAAAGAAATATTAATTTATGTGTGATTAAAAGTATTCCGAGTGGATTTATTACATATAATTGAAATTGACTTTAATGGTTTAGTATGTTCATTAAGACCAAGTACTCTATCGTTATATCAAGTAAATCGTCCAATTTCAATTTTAACAAACGTCAAAAAAACTACTCATTTTCTCAAACTTTGAATTTTTGAGATTAAACTACTTGTTGTAAGGCCGTAATATTTCAGTAAGTTTTATCACACCATGATATATATCGCCAAAAAATGTTCCATAAAAATCGGCTTATATTTATTTTTAACAGTTAATTATACCAGTAAACGGTTCGGTAGATTTTCACCTAAAACTAAGCAGTGTCAATCCCAGCTAATATCTTTCGAACAGTTTTTGATTATTTTAAATCGAGTTGGTAGTATGCTACCAAAAAAAAATTCATAAAAATCGTCGAAAAAAAATTTTATAACACTTTATTACAAGAAAACGACCCGGTCGATCTTTACCAAAAACTAATCAGCATGATTCCCAACCAATATCTATCGAACGGTTTTTGAATTTTCAAAATCGATTCAGAATTGCGGGCTAAAATCGTCGCACAAAACTAACAAACGCTAGTCCTCATCGCGATACATCGAATGGCTTTTAAAATTTTGAAATCGGTCCAGCCGTTTTTGAGAAAACACCGATTTACGGCAAAAAATTTTTTCACAAACACACTCGCGAACACATATTTTTTCCAAAATTGGTCTCATTCGATTCAGAATGACTTGAAACGTCGAGAAAACATAAAATTAGCGAATCGGATTTTTTTATGAAAACAACCTTCTCCTTCGGGAAGTTAATAATACTTATTTTATAGGTTTTTTTTAGCTCAAAAACTAGTATGATAATTTAGTCATTTTTATTAAATAACTTAGTATGTTTTTGCATAATATGTATTTGATCTTAGCAATAAATGTTTCATTTATTTTTATTATTAATAAAAAAAACTGTGCTGGAACGAATTAATAGCATTTCAATATATTTATATGGAAAAAAAATGCTTCAACATACGAACATTTCGACAAGCGATCGTGCTTGCGGAGCGAATTAAGCTCGTAAGGCGGGGTATCACTGTATACTCTTAGGAAGATTTTATTTTTTTATTATTTTTTATTTTATGTTAGCTAGATTTTTCCGCAGCTCCAAATATTAGAAAGATTTTAATGCTTTTTCCCAATTTTCACATACACATATTTCATAATAACTTTGAATTTACTTTATTACATAAAATTTGCATGAATTATTCAGAAATACATAGACGTTGAAGACGCAGAATTAAAAGATGATTACTAAAACTACATTTTTGAGGTTACATTTTGAAGATGCTGTCAATGTATCTAAAAATGCTTTAAACGTAATGGGTAGATTCCACCTGTGAGTTTGTTCAAGTATAAAAATGCTGATGTTAGTAAAATCCGCCACCATATTTGATATGCTCTCATGATGTATTATTTTTGTTGATGTCCACCATACTATTAAATTATAGGAGGAATGCACAACAATATATATTAAATTTTGAAATATATATTTAACATATAAATTATATGTTATAATTATGTATTCCCACATTCTAATTTTCAATCTAATTTTTTGGCCAATCGTTATTTTTGAAATTATTTGATATATTTTATTATTATAATTTTTTTTAATGATTTTTTAATTTAGTGCAGCATCAAATTTGACCCAAGATCGATATCCCCCTGTGATTTGCACGACGCAAAATAGGTGATATGTCCAGATATGACTAGTGTTAGAATAAAGTCACTAGTACAATACTGTGTACTTTTCGTATCGGTACTTTGGTTCGATATTTTACGTAGCGGTATAGATACTTTTCGCCGATTCTACTAAACAAATATCGAGAGATTAAATCAAATTCAAGAAATTAAATGCAATAGTGCCTTTCTTGATGGCTATACTTTATTTATAAGTGCCGAAGTACGAACTCGAAGGGTCATTAGCCTCAAAATTTATTGCTCTAAGACCCTCAAAGAATCGGACCATAATAATTAAAGATATTTAGTACCTCTTACGCTGAATTGTAACGGCTTTTTAAAATTGTGAAGTATTTAAAAACATATTCTCAACAATTATAAAACATTAGTATTTGTTTATGTGAAAATATGTAGATATAATTTTTTCAAATAACTAGTGCAAAGTGGCATATAGTAATTTATCTATGAATAGAGCACCATATTAAACGTTAAATGTCTTAAACATATATTCTTCCTACTTATATGCTTATTTATCTATGTATTCTTCTTTCATATATGATCTATGAAATTTGAAAACGCACTACTTGTTAAATAACAAAGTGATCCACAAGTGTCCCATCTTTCTAAAAGCATATTCTATGCTTCAAATGTCAAATAATGAATGTAATGCCCGAGATAATTGAAGTGCAATAGTTGAAATTATATATGATTTTGAAAATGTTTATTGATTAAAGTAGATTATTATTTAGCTTAAGACTATTTTCGTGTATATTTTGTGAGCAAAAGCAGTGAGAGTATTTAAAAATGTCAGACGAAATAATTATGTCTATGAACAATCAGGCAATTAAAATTGAACCACCAGAATACTCAGTAGAAGAAATTAAATATGAAATTGAGGATGATTTTGATAATGCTGATGCTATTGTTAAATCTGAATCTAAGAATGATGAAACATGTTTAGAAAGATTCATGAATTCCGAAGTGACCAAAGAAGAAGAAGTCAAACAGGAATTAATCGAGACATCAGCTTATGAATGTGACATTTGTTATCAATCATTTGCAGAATCACATCATTTAAAAGAGCATATGGTCGATCACTTGCCTAGTAATAGAACAGAAACCCCTTTCAAATGTGAAATCTGTAATAAGACTTTCAAACTAAAAAAAGGGTTGAAAATACACATGAATACGCATTCTGCAGAACGTTCTTTTTATTGTAAATTTTGCAATGAGTCATTCAAAGAATCGGTTGCTTTGAAAAAACACTATTTGGTTCACAGCGGTGAACGGGCCTATGAATGCAATATATGCAATAAGAAATTTATAGAAACGGGTACTTTGAAACGTCACATGCTGATTCACAGTGAAGTGCGTCCCCATCAATGCAGTATATGCGATAAAAAATTTACAGAATTAGGTAGTCTTAAACGTCACATGCTGATTCACAGTGGAGCACGCCCTCATCAATGCAGTATATGCAATAAGACATTTACACAAATAAGTCATCTGCAAAGTCACATGCTCTTTCACAGTGGTGAGCAACCCCATCAATGCAGTATATGTAATAAGACATTTACACAAATAAGTCATCTGCAAAGTCACATGCTTGATCACAGAGGTGAGCGTACCCATGAATGCAATATATGCAATAAGACATTCACAGAATTAAGTAATCTGAAACGTCACATGCTCATTCACAATGGAGTACGTCGTCATGAATGCACTATATGCAATAAGACATTTACACAAATAAGTCATCTGAAAAGTCATATGCTCTTTCACAGTGGTGAGCGAACCTATGAATGCAGTATATGCGATAAGAAATTCACACACTTAGGTAATCTGAAACGTCACATGCTCATTCACAAAGGAGAACGTCGCCATGAATGCAGTATATGCAATAAGAAGTTTACAGAATCACGTAGTGTGAAACGTCACATGCTGATTCACAATAGAGTACGTCCTCTTGACTGCAACATTTGTGATCAGACATTCACACAATTAGTTGATCTGGAAAGACACATGCTGATTCACAGTGGTGAGCGTAGTCATGAATGCAATATATGCAATAAGAAATTCACACAATTAGGTAATCTGAAAAATCACATGCTCATTCACAATGGAGTACGTCCCTATGAATGCAGTATATGCAGTAAGAAGTTTACAGAAAAAGGTAGTCTGAAATGTCACATGCTGATTCACAGTGGTGAACGCCCTCATCAATGCAGTATATGCAATAAGACATTCACAATGTTAGGTAATATGAAAAGACACATGGCACTTCATAGTCGGAAGCTAGATGAAAAGGAATGAAAAATTATCCTATTTGTTAAATGGAATTCAAATATGTGGAACATGAGGGTTATTTAAAAAGTAACTTTCTCAATTTGCTTTTGAGTGCACAACATGGTTTATTAATATATTATCATACATCATTTGAAAGTTCAATTTTTATTCTATTTTTCAACATAATCGCTTTCTCTGTCAATACATTTTTTGATTCTCTTAATCCAGTTTTGTTAGCTCGCCGCGAAGGGTTCACCTTTTTCCAAACTTAAAGAAACGCTTTCAAGCGACTGACAGTGAAGCCCGTTACGTCGAGCTACCAAAACTGGATTAGGATGATCATAAAACAGAGAAAGTAGTTATGTTGAAGAATAGCAAAAAAGTCGCCATACTGTACACTTGAAAATATAATTGGGAATGTTACTTTTTACATAACCCTTGTAAAATGTTCTTGATTGTACTATAATGTATAAATAGTATAGAATATATACAGTACACATTACATAATATGCATTTATTAATAATCAAGACAATTAACTATTACATATGTCATTTTATAATTTTTTTGTGTTTTAATTTTTATAAAATCAATATTAACTTATAATTTTTTTGAATAATATAAAATTAAGGCATCGAGCCCTAAGGCAAATTGCTGGAACTTTCAAAATCGTAATTGAATATTCGAGGTTTGAAAATAATCATAATCAATAAAAATTAATCAAGGATTTAAAATTATTAATAGAATCATTAAAATAAAAATTATTTACAGGCCAAATTACGTACTGAAATGTAATCTTCGGAATTCGTTAGGAAACGGCTGAGCCGTTTCTTTGTAGTTAGCAGAAAAGTGAAAAATTTTAGACCATTAAAAATTATTATCACCAATAATTACACTGCGCGACAAAACTGGCACTTCTTATTTTCCTACTTCAGTTAGAATTGCACGCTGATTTCAAATATACCTTCCGTTTTTTTTTTTTGTAACAGCATCAGTTTTTCAGTTTTATGGGACTACCCAAATTAGTCATTTCGGCTATGATTATTGCAGTTTAACGACAATCAATAGTGTCAATAATCACTTTGGTACTGAATTGCCCAAGAAAGATAAAACATGGGTTCTTCATACTATGTGAAAAAATTGCGTTGTATGTTTACATTATTATCCAGAAGAAAAAAAAAAGATATAATTTTAAAACCTCCGTCATTTAAAAAAAAACTCATAATCGCCACGACGGTTATTTTCCTGTGTAGTAAATATCAATGAAATAAATTCAGGCAATAGAAGCAAATTGTCATAAATAACAACCCCAATGCTATTGATGTCTACTTGTGATCAGCTACACAACCCCTATCCATGCTAATGATAACCTAGAACGTCAACATCTCCTGCCTACCAAAGTATATCGTAGGTGCAGAAACCAATGCTTGAAAGAGAAGAGAGAAAGAATTAAAAACTGATATATTTGATGTAATTGATTTATCACCCACACTCTTATTAGAACGGTTTTTGAAAAATGTTGGAGATATTAGTGAAGAGCCAGTATGAACAATAATGATCTGACTTCTGTTCCTGTATCATAGAAGTATTTAACTTCCCGAAAGAAATGTTTATATTTTTTGCCAGAAAATGTTTGTTTACAACGATAGGCTGAGCCGATTCCTAGAAATTAGAAAAAGAGTGCTAAAATTTTTGCCCTCGTTTCAAAATCAAGAATTGTTCGGAATATATCCCCCGGACCACTTTTTATTTTTAAAAAATCATAAAAATTTGGAATAAATCTAAATTCTTATTGATTGTGTCGATTATTTACACATATCGGGAAATTCAAGCAAAGCTCCGTAAGGCTTACAACTAATTAGTTAATTTTTTATCAGTTTTATTTTTGCAGCAAAAGTATTGAAAAAGTAATGAATTTTGGTAGCAATATAATAACTATTGAATTTCATATTTTAAACATATTTTTAGAGAGTTTACAATTGGTTATAAAAATTAACAGAGATGATCTTACTGTTAGACGAAAGTTTCATGAAGACAGGTGTTTTGCTAAATGACTCTAGTTGTAATTATTCGAACATACTAATTGAGTCGAAGTCTCTGATCTTTGTTTGGTTGAGAAATTAATATGTATAATTAGCTATAGTATTTGAGTTTGAAACAAGATTACGGGTTGCTATACTTTGCCTTTTGGTTTTGAAAACAGTCGTTTACGCTCCATTGCTTTGCTAATTTTCGAGACATTTAGCAAACTGCTGAATTAATTTTATTTTTTTAATTTGCACAAAATGACTTAATAAAATGCTAGTTTTCTATTCTATCGCAACACTCTAAAGTTATATTTTTACATTCTTCACCATGTTTTATTCGAAATTAAATTTAGTTGCAAGAAAGTTTTCATGATTATTTTAACTTTTGTTATTGTGAAATAAGATAAAAATTTGTAAGATTCTATTAATATTTGGACAGGTTAAACCCCCATGGCCCGGAAAAAATACACTTTGAAATAATAATTTTACATTTATCGCGTTGTTTTTAATGACATTAAATTTCATTGAACATATTTTTCACGATTAATTCGCTTTTAGTGAAATATTTTTTTTTTTATTAATATTTGCTTACGGACGTGTGGGCCCCCCCTGGCCGGGGGCCCCGTATTTTTGATATGGCTGATACGGCAGTAGTTACGCCCCTGCAGACAGGTAAAGAAATAAAAGATATAAAAAGTACAAAAGTGGCAATATAAATGGGTAACCAAGTAAGAAGATAGGCAGAAATGTTAGAAGTCTGATAGGTAGACTGAGACAGTTCGGCAGATAGGAAGGTAGATATGTAAGGTAATGTAAACAATACCAGATAGACCTAGTTTATTTTTAAGATAACAATGTAAGTGATTCCAATCACAAATCTATGTCAAACCGACGAATCATCTGTACGTTTTGTGGTGTTTTGAAGTTTTCTACTGATTACAGTTTACGTCCACGCTCAAATAATATACATTTTAATTAATTTATTTTTATCAAATTAATTTATACAATTACAATTACAGATATTATGAGTATGTTCTAAATTTAAAGCGATATATCAATTAAAAATAGTTTTTAATGAATAACAAATATCAACACGCATCCCACATAGCACGCGTCGAACCTCAGTCGCACCGCGTTGACACATTTTGAACCCGCTAGGTTAACATCGATCAAAACTGGCACATTATCTGACCGTCAGTGGGTTTAACTAAAATTTGACCTTTTAATTTTTGGTCCAGACTTATGACGCATGCGCAGTATCTAGTGCGCGTACGTAGATCGAGCAAGATGCCAGGTAGATGAGCGCCATTTTAAATTCGTGCTTGGCTTGGTTTATAACGGATTTTGTTGATTATTTTTCTGAAAGAAACTCCATATAAATATGTCGACTAGAAAATTTCGCAAATCCATTGGCTTTGTGACAGACCGACATTTTAGAAGGAGGGTGAATTGGGAATTCGAAAGAATAACCGCGGAAAAAAAGAAAGAATTAACTCTTTCTAGTGTAAATGACAGTGATGTCCATCGTGTTGAAATTTCAACAAGTGCCAGTACTCAGAATGATTTTGGAATGCAATTTAATGATCATCACGCTCAAGGTAATTATAAATTAAATTTTATCTAATTATTTAAGAGTAAAGATAATATAAAAATATGTAAATATTTTAGTTTTAGCATGTAATCAGAATAATTTTGGAGCGACATCTTCTCATGAACATGAGAATCTAGGTAATTATGAATTTAATTATATATAATTATTTATAAATCGGAGAATCGGAAACTGAAATATATATTAATTTTTAAAACATCATTATTATTATAATAATAATGATGTTTTAAAGATCAATATATATTTCAGTTTCCGATTCTGAGGATAGCCTTAATGGAGAAGTTATACCAGAAGTCTTCGATGTAAAACAATTTTTAGCAGAATGGGCGTTACATATCAGGTTCTTCATAATGCTGTATCGGCACTGCTTTTAAAAAAGCATGATTGTTTTAAAGATATACCAACAGACTCTCGGACAATTTTAAAGACAAGAAGGATAGAAGTATCGAAAGTTATGAACCCAGGAGAATATATTCATTTTGGACTGTTAACTGGTTCAAACCCAGAGACGTGAACGTAAAAGAATTCACCACAGCAGTGGAGAGAAAGTTGAGATATTAGAGCATAGTATACCACTAAACCAGTTACGTAATATTACGTAATTTTAGTGTAAGAAATATGTAATCTACATTACGTAATCAGATATTACGAAATAATTACAAAAATTTTACGTAATTCGCCTGCAAAAATATTACGTAAGAAAAATGAGGATTTTATTTCATATATATTACATAAAGATCGACAGCTCGTGATTTTTTCGGAATATTTCGTTTCATGAGCGAAACTGTCAACCAATGAACGGCCTTAAGCGACAGAAGTACCGTTAATCCTGCGAGGCAGCCGCCGGCCGCCGGCCGCTAGCCTAGGCTATGATGCCAAGTAACAAGTTATCCTGAAATGCATTATGGGAAATGGGACTATTCGCCATGTGTTTTGAATTAAGTGTTGTGTTTTGTAGTGTCTAATTAATATTTTTTAATTTGCTAATTAAATGTGAAAGTGATATTAAATATGTGAAAATATATGTTCATAATATATGTATTTTAAAGGCTCTTAAATTACATGAATTAGTTAAATCTTTACTCTAAAAACGCTCCATTAACCTAAAAATTGATCGTCTGTGTTATTAAATTTTTTTCCAATAATAATTAGATATATAAATAACTTTTATTCTATTCTTCATATTCTAAATATTATTTTTATTGTTAATAAAAAATCAGTGACAAATTATTTATAACAGAATCACTTGGCCTTTTGAAAACCATTTGCTTTGGGTAGTATATAAAAAACATATGTATTAAAAGTTAAATAGAAATTATTACCATGTTTTTCATTTCAGGTGAAAATCGAAAGCTAATAATTTATATCCGAGATGCATTTCTTCATCACAAATGGGCCATGAAATAGATATCGAGAATGCTTTTGTAGAGAAGACATCATAGACTTATACCACATTTAGTTTTAACTGAAGATACAATTCCTAATTACATAATATATACATAATATGAAATATTTAGTGAAAGAACTTATGAAGACTTTGTAAAGGATACTTCGATGATTTTTATTTCGAGTTTAATTTTAATTTGCATTTCTCTTATCATTTATCATATTTTTTCCATTTGACATGAAAATGTTGATAAATATGTCATATGTAATTACATTTTATAAAAATTGTGAATTATTATTTATTACTTTGTGGATTTGTTAATGTTTAAAATTGTGTACATATGCCGAAAAAATAAACATACCATATAAATGTGCTTTTTCTTTATTTTCAGAGAGTAATATATATATATATATTATATATATATATATAATATGTGTGGTGTGTATATGTACATACATATAAATTATATATGTAGTAGTACATACTAGTGTATATACGCATTCCTAAGTTCATGAATGTATGTGCTCACATATACGCATATGTGTGTATGTGTGTGTGTGTTCATATATACGAATATGCATGTATGTATTTATGTATGTGTGTAAAAAAGGCCCCCTCCACGTCATTTTTTTTTTCAAAAATTAGTAATTATTATGAAATATTTTCGTAATCCATATTACGTAATCCACATTACTTAAATAGGCGAAATTATGACACATATCTTACATTGTCTTACGTAAAATGACATAAGTATGTAACTTTTTTGCGTAAAAATTACATAAATATTACGGATTTTGGCTCAGTGGGTTTTACCTAGGTACCGTGTGTTACCAACAACACACCAATGATTTATGGACAGCGTAGAAGTAAGTGAAAATATTAAATAAATTCAGTTTTTAATTGATACTAATTTATCTGAAAATACATTTTAGGTATTCAAACTTCACCATCGATACAGTACACACCTAGACCTGCTGCCCAAAGATTGATGTTTAATAGTCGTAAGTATTGTAATGAAAACTCTTAATAATAAATTTAAGAATTAATATAGTTGCATACTTTCCGTGCGTATTTGTAATAAATAATCCATATAGTTATAAATATTGAATGAACTAAAACTGCAATTCCATATGTAACATATTTATTAAATAGTATTTTATTTACACTACTAAAATAACTAAATTAAACTAACTTAACCAACAATGATTTAGCATTGGTGATCATTGTCTTGAAACTTATCATTATCTTATTATCTAGTATTATTAAATTCAAACTAATTATTTCATTTTTTATTTTAATTATTTTCATTGTCATTATTCACATTGGGTTCATCACCACCTTCTAAAGCACTGGAAAGAACAAATTTTGAATTATTATAAACTATAGTTTTACAGGTTTATTTTATATAATAAGAAATGTTAATTGACATTTTGGAAATATCTGGAATATATTTCAATTTACGTAGCATTCCGGACAAATCTGTCATGGTCATGACACAGCCATCCTTCGACACACTGTTCAACTTGGCTCTGCGTCACACGCTGATGTTGTTCAGATACAATATCTGAAAACATTATTGGTTCAATATTTGTTTAAATAATAAATAGTTTAAAGTAAGTCATTTAATGTATTAATTAATACCTATAATTAATTTTACTATTAGGAGGGCCAAAAAATTCTTTTTGGCTATGCCTCCAGCCTAGCTGTACTCCTAGGCTACCACATCCTTAAATACCTTCTTTAAAAGGGTTATGGTAGCGCTTTTACAGTCCACGCCACCAATTCGTCCTAGGCGTGCTTTCTATAAATGAAACAGTATATGTAATTGATTTGTCCATTTTATCCATTGAGGAACATCATATTTACCTATTTTTCTGCTATTGACCCATCTGTCAATAGCTGCTCCACATCTTGAAGCACTGCTTCTGTCGACACCGGAAATTTATTGTACACGGCCAGTGTATAATCAGGCAAATCATTCTTCTTTTTACACTGGCAGCATTGCTTATTAATGCTGTCCATTACACAGCTTGGAACTTGCTGTCTTGCGTGGTTTTTGTATCCAATCTTGAAATTAATTTCTCCAAGTCTGTTGTTTTTAAAGTTGTCTTAACTTCATAATGTACATTAACGTTGATGTAATTAATGTAATGAAATAACTCACTTTTGTACCCATCCATGGGCTCTGTGCTGCTCCCAGCACCATGGTCGAACATCTTATTCCCATCATCACAATCTTAAATATAATATTAGATGATATGATATGTAACATTAGTATACTTTTTAGTAGATTACTTACAAGTGTTAATTAGACGCCTTGCATTTGGCGTTGGTCGACTATTAACTACTGATGTGGAATCTAAAATCTTAGATTAATAATATCAACATAACATAACTTTACGGGTTTACTTACTGCTCTGTCCAATAAATCCGTTATCGAAGTCTATAAAGTAAAAATGAATGCATATAGCAAGATTTACATTTAATAATAAATATTTAATTAAAAAATTAATTGTATGCGATCTTACTGTTTGAATGAATTGCAACAGGCGTAGAGCATCTACTCGATAATGTTGTTGGTGCAGGAGCTGGAAGCAAGATGCTAGACTCGGAGTCCAGATCCAAATCGTCACTGGAACTTCGGTCCTTTCTCGCACGAACTCCCCTTTGTACTTTTCTTGCCTCCGCATCAGATGTTATGTCTGAATATTCAAGTGCTTCCTTCATTTTCTCAAGTGCCACCTCAAATGAGTCTTCAGGCAAATTATAAGACTTATAACTAGTTTAACAATAATTACATGTTACTTTATTGTATAGATGATAATAAAAACCATATTATTATATTGTCTAGGATAAAAACTATACTCTTCTTCTCTTCTTTCGCCTATGAATAAAAACATTTGTTGACTGTTGAGTCCATAGATAAGTAAACATAGATAAGTAAACGGTTGAGTCATAAATAAACAAGTATAAATAGATAGCAAACCGGATCGCTTTTCGATTATTTTAATTTTAATTTTCTGCTCCTGCTATAGAGGCGCGACGAGTGTAGCATGAAAATTTACCCCTAGGTTCAATTCTAGATAAATCCAAATCCTTGGGTTTAATTCTAAGATAATTTTATGTTTATTTATCTATGATTGTTACAATAAATCTGAAATTTTAATATGTGAAATGATAACAAAACATACTCATAAAAAATATATTTTTATATATATTAAAAACATTTTTAAAAATGAAATAAAATTAATGTTTAAGCAATAATTAAATATAAATTATAAAGTATATCAATAAAAGATATTTACATAATTTAAATAAAATATAACTAATAATAAATGACGAGATTTTTCTAACATTCGCAGAAAAATATACGGGTTTTTATCTGCCTCAGTCGAGTTTTATTGGCCTTGCGACTTTTCTTGTACTTTTCGAGAGCTACTTTTTTATGGGGTCCTGTTCATTTTCATTCATATATTTCCTGAGAGACATAGTTTCACAGTATTGCACCAGTTATTAACAACAAACAATATAAATAATTTAAAAAATTGAACATCTCCGACCCTTATTTTTCCAAAAAAAATCTTCAATGAATCTTGATTAAATTTCTGGTACATAAATAATGAAATTCTGGAATCACTTTCTTTTTGTTTCAAATGTGCCTCAAATCCTCTATTCGCTCCGAGCGTGACTGCCGCGCCCATGCAGCGCCGAATAAATATGAACTGATTGGGGCTATCAGTGTGTTTTTTCATGGGTTTTACATGTTTGTTAAAGAAAAAAGATATTAAAATAATTGTTATAAATAATAATAAACAAGATACAGTAATAATGTGAACGCTGAATGTTTATTGAAATTATTAAATTTTACTTCACGTACTTAAACATAGTTAAGTATAATCATTAATTAAATAAAGAAATGCAGTAATAATTTTAAGGTTAAGTGCCTCAAAGCTTATGTCATAATCTCGGAATAGTTCTTAATCAAAATAATATAATAATGACAAATAATATTTTATCAATAGAATAAGTAAATAATAAATTAATTTACTCATTTTTTTGGTCAAACTAAAGACTTAGACACTATTATAAAGACATAATTTAGACATTATTATCAAAGACAAGACCCATCAAATAAAATTGCAGGAAAAACTACATTAACTTTTCGAGACTTGTAAATTGAAGGAAATATTGTTGACAAGTAGGTAGGACTCATACCTCGACCGATTCACTGCAAATGCGATCATAGGGCTTGGGAACCCACGGTGATCCATCAACACTACAAATATATATTTCGCATAATTTCAGCATTGTATTAATTAAACTGTTTGCAAAATAAACATTTTTTCGCTATGTGATAACTTTTATTTTTCTTTTAATCATAAAATTACAATTATTATATAATAAAATGTAATTAATATATAAATAATAGTTATACATAATCAATATACAATATATAAATATGTATTTTTCATTATTTCAGGCTTGTATTAATTACATTGTTTTACAAAACATTTTTTTTAGTAAGCATTAAATTTTGATAATACAACAATTTATTGACTTATAATTTTTCTTTTTGCTAAACATAACAATTTTACAACTATTCATAATACTCCAAATTGTATTTTTATAACAATAAGGTTATGATACTTACTTTATTCTTCAAACCGCTGCGATCCACTTTTCCCGTTGATTTTCTTTCCACTTAGCTGTACAAAATGTATAGAATTTGCAGTCACTTTTTCTGCTGGTATTTCTACAACCCACTACACAACAGATATGGTGGCTCATTTTTAATTATCTTATTTAAATTTGAAATAAATAAATATTTTATGTGTTTTTGTTTAAAATTTTGTTTATAATAGCCCCTTCTAGTGCTTCAAGTTAGCCACTACGAACGCTTCGGTCGATTTGACTTCCCCTTCCATGCCTTCGCACATAGCCAATAACTTTTCAGCCTAGGTTCTTAACGCATGCTGCTTTTGTTAGTACCCTGCTAGAATTTTTTATATTTATAAACTGTATTTAATTCAACACTTTTCGACACTGTGGTACGTGACACTTCGCCATATTGAAATTCATTATTAATTCTTTTGTTTTTCTGAAGTATTCGTTCGTAATCGGTTGTTATCGAATAGCACCGTACCATAGATAAACAAGTATAACCGTACAATGGTCCTGCGGTTTGATGTGCGCGTTGGCCGAGAAACGGCGTTTTGAATTTGGGAACAGTAAAACCCTCTATCACAGGAGCGGAACACTAATACGATAAAAAGTCATTTGTTCTATGTTTGCCCCCACCTCCCTCCGACGAATAATCATTCATAGATAAAAGAATTCAAGTACATTCAAGTTCATTATCACCGACGAATCATGTATATAAGCATAGTATATAACAATAAAGTCTATGGTTGAGTTTTATCCTTTAAGCCGGCCACAGACGTAACTGTATAACTGCGCAACCTGTGACTTGCACCTGTATTCTGTAGGGTTCTGTAGCGTCTATGGGTGGTTTTTTGCGCAAATTGACAGACTGGTGCAAGCGAGTAGGCATGAGCACTTTTCGATTATTTTAATTGCGCAATCATTCAAGTCGGCAAGTTCATTCGTTGGCCGCGTGTGGCAGCACATGTCCCGTTTTATTTTACTTTGTACCGAATTCATAATACAAGTTTATGAAGTTATCGACAATTAAAATTATTAAATTAGACCTCTGAACACTTTGATTTCTCTTCTGATGCTGTAATATATAAATTAACAAAAAAGATAAATTTGAGCCGTCTGTGGGCACTGTAAAAATACGCCTGGTTGCGCATTCATTCAGTTGCGCAAGTATACAGTTACGTCTGTGGCCGGCTTAGTTGAAATTTGTGATATGCTTGCGATTGCGCAAATACTTGAATATAAACTTGAGTCGTCTGTGGGCACTGTGAAAATACGCCTGGTTTGCGCATTCATTCAGTTGCGCAAGTATACAGTTACGTCTGTGGCCGGCTTTAGAGAGCCATGAGCGGCATGAGCCATATTGAATTGGAAAAGACGCGCCATGGACGCGCCGCTTGTTAAATAACAAAGCGATTCGATTCTTGTCTCATCTTTCTAAAACCAGCATTCTATGCTTCAAATGTCAAATAATTGAATGTAATGAAAATGGAATGGAAATGATTGAAACGTAATAGTTGAAATCCTAGACAATATAATAATGGTTGAAATCATTTATGATATTGAAAAGAGAGTTGATTAAACTAAAATTCAACTAGATTATTATTTAGCCCTTTTGTGTATATTTAGTGAGTAAAAACAGTGAACTTTTTAAAAATGTCAGACGAAATAATTATGTCTGTGACAATCAGGCAATTAAAATCGAGCCACCGCGAATGTTTAGAAGAAGGCATTAAACTAGATGTTGAGGATGAATTTGGCGTTCTTGATGCTATTGTTAAATCTGAATCTGAAGATGATGAAACGTGTTTAGAAAGATTCATGATTCCGAAGTGACTGTAGAAGAAGAAGTCAAACAGGAATTAATCGAGACATCAGCTTATGAATGTGACATTTGTTATCGATCATTTGCAGAATCACATCATTTGAAAGAGCATATGGTGATCACATGTCCACTAATAGCAAAGAAAGCCCTTTTGAATGCGAAATCTGTCATAAGACTTTCAAACTAAAAAGGGTTGAAAATACACTTGAATATACATTCAGCAGAACGTTCCTATGATTGCAAATTTTGCAACAAGTCATTCAAAGAATTGGTTGCTTTGAAAAAACACTATCAGGTTC